CCACCTCAGGAGCGGCCGTCTTGAGAGCGACCACCTCTGAAATGGCCGCCTCGGTACTTGTGGCCGGGTGGGAAGATGAAGAGGCAGCCTGGTGAGGAACTGATTTAGAAGTCTTGTCCATCGTAAATCTAGAAAATATATGAAGATTTGAAGAAGGTGTATAAAGATTTGAAGTTTATAAGTGACGATATGAGATCCTGGGTTGAAAATCCAAGAAAATGTACGAAGATATGAGGTTAAAGATGAATATATAAAGGTTCAAGAAACGATATATGAAGATTTGAGAAAGTTAAAAGCCTTCGTGGAGTTTGAAGGTAAAAGCTAGGATCAGAAATTGAAGGAAGTGAAAGGGGGAAACTTTTATAGAAGGAAATTAGCGACGCTTCGCATTCGGAGGCAACCAGCTGTTGAACGACACGTGTCTGAAGTTAGAACAACGCGATTGATGAGACATTTCATATTATGCACCATCTCAGTTGTAACATGAGAAGAAAAGAACCGGGGTTCATCTATCGTTTCACATCATTTCAGCAAACTTACTCTCTGGAAAACTAAGGGGTTATCTGTATACGAGTAAAACCGGGATTAATGAGCACCTTGATTCCTCACTGGGTCAAATGAAGCAAGGACATAACTAAATGTAATTGGAATCGAAGCTAGGAATTTCTCGTCCTAAGGCCCGAACGGAGTGCTCGCCATAGGGCCCAACAAGACAATGCCCCTCGAATCTGGTACGAGCTCCGAGACCTCGGAAAGCACTACAAACGGTTGCACACGACTAAGAGAGGGCCGTGATATCCGCACTCAATCGGGTATCACGGTGCAGATTTCGTCCGATATCGGTAGCATATCAGTAATTAATGTACACGGAGGATTTTTACCTTTTTTATAATTGTACTAGGGGTAAATTTCCCCTACTATATAAAGGAAAAGTTTCTTATTTAATGGATACAATGTAACACGCATATCAAGGCAATACAAACTTTTTTCTCTGCTTTCTAGTTATTGAAAAGTTATTATTTTAATTATAGTTCTTCATACGCATTTGGCTCTGAATCGAAGGTCATGTCGAAGGCGGAACTATTATTAAGCTTAAATTTGAGTTCGGACTCAATGTCATAATTGGTTTGGTTATCTACAGTACCTTTATAATTCGTTTATCTAACATTCTTGATCATGTGTGTTGAATAAATCCACATACTTTTAAAATCGCGTATAAATTCAATTGTTAACCATTTTAAGGGTAACCACTATTAAAGACATAAAGACTCATATGAAATGTCAATTCGTGCACTAAAGATAGCATGTAATGTCTGAACTTTTTTAAATTATGCCTTGCATGTAGGAAGACTTTCCTGATAGATTTCGGTGGTGTTTTACAAGAAGTTGTTTTCTATAGGCAAAATACACAAGTTACCCCCTGAACTTTGGACCAAATTCATGTTACACACTTTCTGATCACGAAAATCATTTAAAATACTCAACCTTTCTAGAGTGTGTCTAATACACACCTCTTTGCCTACGTGGCTAGCGCGTGTTTTACAAACAAAATGAAGCATCTGAACATTAAAAAATTATATGTCTGATATTTTATTTAAACGGTTCAGATTTAGTGAAATTTATCCAACGATTACAATAAAATTTCTTTATTTCTTTCCTTTTTTTTAGTTTCTTTCTTTTTTATTTTTCTAAACTAATCCACCACCTGCCCGTCGAGAGCCCATCCAGACCTCTCCATCGTCCACCATTGATGCTCCACAACTTCTCCACCATCCTAAAATCAATCAACACTCACCTGTCGAAAAATCACCATACCTTCACCACTGAAGCACCTTTTTCTCTTCTCTTCCTTTTTCCCCTTACACTTGTTGGGGGCAACCATGAAGGAACCCACTTACCATTATATACCATTGGAGAGGGTTGTAAATTTGCTTAAGAAGAACCAATATTCTAGTACAACTAATTGTTTTTGGTGTTTGGATAAAATCTTAATAAGTTTTTTGCAAAAGATTCCAATATTTGGTACTCGAATTTTGTATCTCGGAAATATTTAGAAATTAGAAGCTAGGAGCATTTGACTGGGGCTTCTAGTTTTTGTTTGAATTAGATAGCAGAGGTCTGGTTGTTGTCGCCGGCGAAGAGAAAGAGATCCTAGGGGGAAGATGGTAAAGGGTATAATTGTAATTTTACATATTTTAATTTTTAAAAGAATAATAACACGTGTCACAATCTTATTAGTGCGTGACTTTACACATATTTTGAAAAATTGGTCAAAAAAAAAGATGTGTATTAGACACACTCAGAAAAGGTTGAGTGTGTAAGATGATTTCTGTGGTCAGAAAGTATATAATAGGGATTTGGTCCATAGTTTAGGGGGTAACTTATATATTTTGCCTTTTCTATATTGTCGTAGAGGAAAGGAGAAAATAACATCATATTAAAGAGGAAGGCACTCTGGGATAACGCCAAATCAGTCACGGTAGCGAATCTATTACAGTCTCTTAATATTTGGGTTATCTTTCCCTTCCCAAAATTGATGTGTACTATTAATATGTAATTAATGTTATTACTGAGTATAGTGTATTATCACCAACCACACAAAAAAAAGGTTGGACCTTTAGCTACACATGTCCACAGCTAATTCATTCCCACAAATCCAAGAGAAATCCATTAAAGATCATACTTACTTTACAAAACCCAAAAGATGAATCATATAAAGGTGAGCTTTAATCCAGGCTAGGCGCCTTATGAATAATTTTAACATTTAATTGCAGCGCCAAAAGAGGATTTATGGACATTATATATTTTGCTCTTTATATAATGAGAGTTGGAACATAATTTCTTTTCCGATTAAGAGGATTGCTTCTCTTGTAATTATTTTGTTTCACATATATCTTTTTCCTCCTATTTTTTTAAATTCTTTTTGTATGTATGTCCTGCCTTATATTCGATAGCTAAGAGGGGGAAATGACAACTCTAAGAAAAGAATTATTGGGTATTAAGAAGAGAATAGAAGAACTTAAAAGTAATCCCAATAACTTTGGTATAAATAAGTTAAAGAGATTGAAGAAAGAATCATCTCCAGCTTATAGAGATGAAAAGATCTATTGGAAATAAAAATTTAGAGCTTTGTGGTTACAAGAGGGAGATAAAATAGTTCCTTTTTTCACATGTCTACGTTGCCAAGAACAAGAAGGAATATTATTAATGATTATCAAATATCGGATGCGGAAAAAAAAAAGATTTATGATAGGATCTTATTAAGGATGTAAATGATGAGAAAATTAAAAATTTGTATTTTCTGTGCTTCCTCAAAAGTTTCGATGCTGATGGTATGATTCCTCTATTTTTTTCAAAGATACTGGAATATTTTAGAAAAGGATATTTTAATGCTAGTAGAAGCTTTTTTACTTCGGGATATATCCTATCAGATTAGAACCAAAACTCTTTGACCCCTGAATTTGGAGTATCTAATTTTCAAGCAATTCACAAAGTTCAACAAATAAACGATATTTCACGATCCAAGGTGTAAGCTTCTTCGTAGTAGCCGTCCTTATATGTACCCTCTTTGTTGTCTTTTGCTGCTTTTATTTTCGTTGTTAGCCTGGTATTGATAAATTGCTTATTTGTTATTTGATTGCTTTTACTTCTCCGTTGTTAAATTATATTAATATTTTGCACAGGTTTCTATGTTTAGGAGGTGTTTTGAACTGACCTCATCGCTACTTTACCGATGTTAGGTTTAATACTTACTGGATACCGTTGTGGTGTACTCATGCTACCCTTCTGCACATTTTTGCGCAGAACCAGAATCTTCTGCTCGTGCCGGATGCCAGTGAGTTGACTCAGGCGCTTCGGAGACTTCAAGGTATACCTGCTTGGCGCTCGTGACTCGGAGTCACCTTCTAGTGATTTTATGCTACTGTTTCTTTTATTTCCGAATAATATTGTATTAGAGATTCTTAGTATATATCAGTAGAGCTTATGACTCAGTTCCACTGGCTTTGAGAATTTTATAATTGTTGTTTCATTTTGGTTTCATTGTGATATTTTATCGCCAGTAGGTTAATTTGTATTTTTGGTCCAATACATTGACTCAATTTAGAGCGATATTAAACCAAAATATAATTGAGTGGAGGCTAAATCAGCAGATGAGTAACATAAAATGTTGACATAAAAATGTTAAAACGTTGATGACTTCTAGCCATCTAAAGATATAGCATTTCTCAATATAGCATAGAATTATTAGCAAGCTGACTTTAGAACGTACATAGCTTGATTCAGCCAAATCTTGTTCAATTAAACATGTAGAAAGTTTATACGTCACTCATGCTAATATTGACGAGGCTTTTCTTTCTCATGAAGGGCCTCAAAAGTAAATATAATTGGAAAAGGACTTACTTTCACGTCACATTCACCAATTATAGAGCTAGAAGAGTCTTATAATCTACCGACCACACTCAAAATTAAAGGAGATGGAAGACGTCTAAAATATTCCTTATTATGAAAATCCAAGTATAAATATGGAACCAAATGGCAAGCATTATACTCAAATTAAAGATGGCTTTTATCTCAGATTTTCTCATTCTAATTGTCTCAAGTGGGCTCTTTTATGTCTCTTTTTCTTATCCAATTTGTCCAATGGAGTTTCCAGGGCATTCGCTGGCAGTGTACAAAGAGGACGTAGAGTTGCTGCAATTTTCACTCAACTTAGAGTTCTTGGAAGCAGAGTTTTTCTTGTGGTCAGCCAATGGATATGGTCTTGATGTAACTGCGCCACAACTTGTTATGGGAGGACCTCCTCCCATTGGTGGCCAAAAAGCAAATCTTGATTTTGTTACCCATAATATTATCAACGAGTTTGCCAACCAAGAAATTGGTCATATAAGGTACGCAGCATGCATGCATGTTCGCAAGTACTAGATCCCCATTCCTCTTTAATTCTGAATGTGAGTTTCCTCTAAACATGCATTGTTGGCGGTTTTGTACGTATAGGGCAATCTTTTATACAGTGGGTGGATTTCCAAGACCTTTTATGGATATAAGTGCTGAAAACTTTGCAAAATTCTTTGATGAAGCATTTGGATACAAATTGGAGCCTCCATTTGATCCCTATAGAGACAGCTTGAGCTACATGCTATCCTGCTATGTTCTCCCATATGTTGGATTGAATGGCTACGTTGGTGCAAATCCCTTCATCAACGGCTACAAATCTAAACGAGTAAGTTGAATGGAAAAGTAAATTCTCCATTTTACATTAATATTCTTAATTTGTCTTCGCCATCTTGACTTTCATAAATCTCCATTTAACAGGTATTGGCAGGACTGTTGGGGCCTGAAGCAGGGCAAGATGCAGTTTGCCGTACCTATTTGTACGAGAGAGCTGCTGAAATAGTATTCCCTTATCCATACACCGTAGCTGAATTTACTGCTCGCATTTCAGAGCTAAGAAATCGATTAGGCATGTGTGGAATCAAAGATGAAGGCCTTTTTGTTCCCCCTCGACTTGGAGCCGAAAACCGTACAACAAGCAATATACTCTCCACAGATTATTTTTCTCTCTCTTATCCAAGAACTCCTGCTGAGATTCTAAGGATTGTCTACGACACTGGCAATGAGCATGTTCCTGGAGGCTTCTTCCCCGCAGGTGCTAATGGAAAGATAGCAAGAGACTTCTTGAAACAACCATGGAATAAAGAAAAAACACATTAAATCCTATATATCATGGAAATGGATTCTGTGGAGCTAATATAAATAAATGTCTTAATTCATGTTAGACTGATCATATTAGTTAATTGCATATTTTCGTGATATAAAAATAAAGTATCAATTCACCTATCAATATTAATGTATAGAAGTTAAAGAAAAAATAAAAGTATGTAGTTATATAACCTTGCAATAATGTAAATATTTTTACTCTGTCGGTTCCGTTTAACCTATGATAGTATGTTAGACACTAGTAGAAATTCGGAAAAAAGTGATCAACAATTTACGATCAAAATTGGTCTGTCAAGAAAAGCGACCAAAGTTTGTTGCTAAATTGGAGAAAATTGTTAAATAATTATTCTAAATACATTAGCGACCAAGGTTGGTCGTTTTTTGGTCGATAATGTGGTCAAAATGTTGACCGGACTGGTCAGACTTGCTTGGTCAAAGAAAAATTAAAATTAGCGACCAACTTTGGTAGCTAAAGTGGAACCCAGTTATAAAATTTTAATAATTATATTATTATATTTAAAAAAAAAATTATAAAATATAAATAAGTATAATTTAAAATTAGCGACCAAAGTTGGTCACTTACGAAAGGGGAAGCAGATAGAGACCAACTTTGCTCGCTAATCTGGGACCAGTTATAAAATTTTAATAATTATATTATTATGTAAAAAAATTATGAAATATAAATAAATATAATTTAAAATCAGCGACCAAAGTTGGTCGCTTACGAAAGGGGAAGCAGATAGAGACCAACGTTGATCACTAATCTGGGACCCAGTTCTAATGTTTAATAATTATATTATTATTTTAAATATTATATAAAATATAAATAAATCTGATTTAAATTTAGCGACCAACTTTGGTCGCTAATTTTAATTTATGGATAATTAGCGACCAAAGTTGGTCTCTTTTCAGGTCAACATTGGTCAAAATTAAAAATCACTTTTATATTTACTATCTAAATAATATAAATGTAATCTGTTAACACTTTTGTAATACAAGAGATGAATACACTAAAATATACTCTACATGCTATATATGTAGTTAAAATTGTACAACGAAGCATGTTATATATATAGACATACACACACAGACACTTCACTGTAATACTATAACGTATATATAACTTGTTATAGTATATGATAGTGTGTGTGTGTATATAACACATACACTTCGTGCTGCTTTAACTACATATATAGCATGTTATAGTATATGATATTGTATTCATTACTTGTATTATAACAGAATTAATAAATTACATTCATTCATCACTAGGTTATAAGTCGATGAATCAATTATAACAGATTAATTGATATAGGTTGAGACATTTTGTTTTAAATATTCAACGATGCATCTAACTAGGTTATAAGTCAATGAATCAATTTACATACAGATATATTTGATGAAAAATTATATATACTAATTAGGATCTTGACAAGTCAATCAATCCCTAAGAGAAATATAATTCATTAACTCTGTTATAATACAAATAATGAATACAATATCATATACTATAACATGCTATANCAATATAGTTTATGCGTGTGTGTGAAATTACTCATATACTTAAATAAAACTTAAATAATTACTTTATATAGATGTTATTATAATCTATTAAAAGTAATTACATAGTTAATAATAATTAATAATAATTGTAGTTAAATAAAATAAATATTTATAGCTAAAAATAATTTTTTTTATAGCTTATAATATTTAAAAACCAAAAAAGAAAAAAAAAATTAATTTTTTTTAAAATAGTGACCAACTTTGATCGCTATTTTCAATTTAATTTTTTTTTAAATAGCGACCAACGGTGGTCGCTATTTTTGGTCAAGCGGTCAAAACTTATTTATAGACCAAAAATAGCGACCAAAGTTGATCGCTTTTCCTAATTCTAGAGACAAAAATGGGTTCCTCCCCCCTCCCCTTCTCTTATTTCCTTCCCCAAAATTTTCCCCACCACCACTGCCGCCCCTCGCTCTCTCTCCTTCTCCACCTAAAAAAAATCAAGGTTAGAATTATAACCTTCAATCTTTGTTATTTTTACTGTGTGTGTTACAATATTTGATGTATTGTAGTTTATTTTTTCAATTAGTGTTTCAATTCTTTGAACATTGTATTTTATTGAAGATTAGGGTTTAGGTCTTGTTTAAATTAGTTTTGTTAATTAATTTTATTAACTAATTATCTTAATTAGTGTTGAATTTAGTTTAGTTAGATTTGAATTATACTTTATATTGTCTTGATATGAATTGAACCTTTAGGATATGAATTGGACTTTTAGTTTATGAATTGGACTTGTAGTTTATGAATTGTAATTTTAAGATATGATTTGAACTTTTAATTTATGAATTGAACTTTTTGGATATGAATTGGACTTTTAGTTTATGTATTGGAATTTTAGTTTATGAATTGGATTTGTAGTTTATAAATTGTAATTTTAGGATATGATTTGAACTTTTAATTTATGAATTGAACTTTTTGGATATGAATTGAACTTTTAGTTTATAAATTGACATTTTAGGATATGAATTGAACTTTTGTCTAAGTACGTTGTGAATAGTTATAAGTTTCATAGAGAGGATTGCTCTTTTAGTTTATAAATTGTAATTTTAGGATATGATTTGAACTTTTAGTTTATAAATTGACATTTTAGGATATGAATTGAACTTTTGCCTAAGTACGTTGTGAATTGTTATAAGTTTCATACAGAGGATTGCTCTAAAAAATAAAAATAGCAACAACAGCGGGGTGTGGGTTCAAGGTGGTGATGACAACCAAGTTGGAGATATTGATTATTATGGTGTGCTCAAAGAAATAATAGAACTAGAATATACAGGTTGGCCATTTAAGAAATTGATACTCTTTAGATGCAAGTGATTTGACCCAAATCCAACAAGAGGTACAAGAGTACACAATCAATACAACATAATTGAGGTTAATCATACAAGGGAGTATGATCGCTATGATCCTTTCATAATTGCACATAATGTTAGGCAAGTGTATTATGCTCCTTATCCATTGCGGCGGAATAAGTCTGATTGGTGGGTTGTAATAAAAACTAAGTCTGTAAGTAGGGTGGAAGTCGAGAATGTGTTAGATATTGCATATCAAAACGATATCTCCAGTGTTCACCAAATAGTGGATGAACTTTTAGATAATAATTTGGAACATCCTGAACACATATTGGAAGAAGTTGATATAAATGAAGTAAGAATTATAGAAAATGAGGAAGAAGAATCAACTGATGAAGCTCAAACTAGTGAGAAAGAAGAATTCTCGGACGAGAAACAATACGAGGAATACCGCTATAGCGCGGAAGTGGCTGCAAATTTTAATCACAAAGCTCGCAAGCGGTTGTCGCATAGTTTCTCCAAAGCTAGAAAGTTGAACCAGAAGCCTGACTGGTTGCTTCAGAATTTATCGGAGGATTTGCAAAGGCAATGGCTTACCGCAAAGTTCTTAGAGAAGAGCGAAAAAGGAAAGAAAGCTCGCGCATTTGATAAGGGAGGATCCTTGCACACTGGAGGTGCAATCAGCCTAGGGACAATAAAAAGAAGATTGGTACGTAATTACTTAATTTATTTTAATTTTCAAAGTATATCTATTCTGTTTATTAACTAAAATTTATGAGTTTTCAGGAAAAGAAGTTGGGGCGTCCAATAAACCAAGATGAGCTATTCAAGGAGACTCATATTGTAAAGAAGAATAAAGAGACGGATCAAGAAAGGTGGGTCGAGGGCTGAGCCTCGACTGTACATGTAAGTTTTCACTTTTCATTAAGTATTTTGATTTACTTTTATATAAATTTTGAAATACTAATTCAATGTAATTTTTTGTTATAGGGTCGCTTCACAGCTGACGTGGAGGAATTCATACGCAGTCAGCTACCTAATGAGTCGGGCGAGCCAATCCAACCTTCAGACGAGGATGCTGAAAGAATGTGGACGGAGGCTGCTGGCGGTTCAAAAATGGGGAAGGTATACGGTCTTCCTACTAAAAAATTTCATCGCTATAAGTGTGGAATGCAAGGAATGGGGACTTCCTCGCAAGGCGAGCAACTTGATGGGGAGAGCCTCTCCGCTATGCGGGAGACTATGACAAAGCTCACATCCGAGCTAGAAGTGGCCAAGGAAAGAGAAAAGCTTAGAGATGCTCAGTACATTGGCATGCAAGCTCAGTACCAGGGCATGCAAGAGCAGCTCAAATCTCTCCTAGCTTCTGGAGCTTTTCCGATTTCCTGGTTTTGTGAGTCATCGCCAGAGCTCGACTTGAACGTGAGCGTTCCTTCCATCCTTCCCGTGCTCGTTCCTCCCGTCCTCCCCATAATCGTTCTTCTCGTCCTCGACAAGTAGACCCTTCTGTATACCGTCTTGTTGATGAAAGTTCATCAGACGGTGATGATAATGATGTTGTACAAAATACTCCTTGACTTTTATATACTTTAAACAATACAAATAGAATCGATTTTGAACTAGGTGTAATAAGCGTTAACTTAGTTTAATTTGTTAGTTCTATAACTTTAATTTGTTGGTTTTAATGTGTTTTTTGAATTGTGTTGTTGTTGTTGTGGTGGTGGTGGTGGTTGTGGTGGTGTTGGGTTGTTGTGGAGATTTTGGTATTGAAATTGTAGTTTATGAATTGAATTATATTGTTATTTAGGGAATTTGGTGTGCTGGCAGGTGGTGTAGCTGCCAAAACAGGCAATTTCTGCCAAAATTATACCTAGAAAAGCGACCAACTTTGGTCACTTTTCTATTTAATTTTTTTTCTTGGGCAATAGCGACCAAGGTTGGTCACTAATTAACCTAGATTTCCTAAAAAGCGAACAATTTTGGTCGCTTATGTTTTAAAAAAAAGCGGCCAACTTTGGTCGCTATTTTCCAGATTTTAAAATATAATATTTTGTTTACAGACCAAAGTTAGTCGCTATATTTTGAATAATAATAAATTAAAAAAACGTAATTTAAATATAGAGACCAACTTTGATTGCTAATTTATATTATTAAAACATTAAAGCGATCAAAGTTGGTCGGTATATTGTTTACCCGGAATATTTGGTCCTTTTAACTTAGAGACCAAAGTTGGTCGCTAATCAGCGACCAACTTTGGTCTCTAGGGTAAAGGGACCAAATATTCAGCAACCAACTTTGGTCTCTAGGGTAAAGGGACCAGT